ATAAAATCGCTAGAAATCATTCGTTGTCCAATTGTGAGTTTTCTACTAAAGTGTGCACGCGGTGTTTGCCAACGGATAACATTTTTGCAAAAGTATCTCCGCTCTTGGTCAAAGATTAAACAATCTGAAGATGGAAACATGCTCGCAAGATAACAGAATAGTTACGGGTATTTTCGAGTGAAAAGAATTTTTTTAATAAAAAGAGAAAAAGAAAGATCGTGGAATGTTAGTTTCTGGGGAAAAGTCGCAGAATAATTGGACTATGAAAGTGTTTACTGTATCTGGGAGTCTTAAGGTTGGACTATGAAAGTGTTTACTGTACGTTGGATTCTTACGGTTGGTCAGTACTGTCGACAGGATACCTACTGGTATCTCATTGTCTACCCTACCTAGGCCCACGTTTTCAGAAATTTCTTGGGGAAAACCCAAGGACTCCCATTTTCCAGGTATTCTAGAGTGCCAGCGTTAGACAACATATGTTTTGGATTACATAAATCATTTTTCAGAAACGTTATATCTGATTTTCACCGCCTTTTCCACAAAAGCAGCGTAATCCGCTTACAGTTGCAAGTTCCGTTACAAATTTTTATACTTTACTGTCAATCCGCTATGAATTTGATTATATGAGTAATATATATAATATATAAAGATTCATTAGTAATTGAGTACGTCAATTTTTGCAATAACACTTGTGGAATATTTGTACTTCTGTAAAGTATAAATATATAGAGTGTAAAGTACTTCCAAATACTTCTGGATACTTTACTTTAAACATTTTCTGCAGGGATTCTTATTACGCTCTGTATATTTAATGCACCGCTGGAGGCTTTATGAGAGGTTTAAATTTCTTAAGTTTGAAGGTGCAAAGAACCTTCAGTTCGCCACGACAATTTATGTTCTTACTGCTTTAAAGCTGAAATAGTTATACCTAGTCATAAACTCGTTTTTTTTTTTTTTTTTTTTTCCTATTAAACGCACTTGGAAATTTCAAATTTTTTTAATTACTCTAGCGTGAGCTAGAACATGCGAGACAAGTGTCTGTAACATTTATAATATAGTATTGATCATTTTGAAAGAAAAAAAATACTGCCAAGTATTACACGCACTAAACCCCCAACGATACGTTTCAAAATGATTTAAAAATTGTCAAAGGCGAATTTCCAACTTTTTCATTGAAATGTCGAAGACGATGCGCCGTGACAAAAAAGAATGGCTGATCTACACAAACGAGCACAGGAAATACGATTTAACGCTACCGTCCGGAATCGAGGTCAAAGTGATAGCTGCGAAAGTGGCATAAATTCATGTAGACTCCTCCGGTAACAAAGTCGCGTCATTATCCGGATCTAATGCCACGAGAGCTGTATTGTCGTGCAGCTAGATTATGCCAGGCGATTTCGTGTCACGGCTATTGAAAATTTACACCGGTGCCCCTTTCATCGCGCGCGCGCGCGCGCGCGAGCGCGAGCGTGAGCACGAGCGCGCACGTCTATCGTCGCGCAGCGACTTGTTTTACAGAGATCGACCTGAGGGTTGACGTTGAACTGCAACCGGAAGTTGCAACGCAAAGAGACACGGCGAAAAGTGACATCTTTCGAGAAAGAAAGAAGAAAGAAAAAAAGAAAGAGAAAGGCAAAATCTCGTAATCCAACTTTTTCCAGTAATCCGATTTAACTAGGGCCAATCGTCTGATATCGGTCGTATAACGGAACGAACGATTGCAAAACGGGACCAATCGACGGCATCATCGACAGCTCGAGATTATATTTCCTTCCATTTCGTTCGGGCGATGCGATACCAAGTGAGAAAATAAATGAAAGAAGACTGCGGGCGATGAAACATGGCAAGTCACGCAGGTTTTTATATTTCATTGAGGAGAAATTTGGAAATACAGTGCGCGTTATTATGAAAATTTTAGGTGTTTCTTTTTACCCCCCGTGTTTTACAATTCCAACTCACGAAATAAGTAATTTACGTCGGATTTGGGGCACTTAATTTCGTCTTGTGTTTCACATTCTCGCGTGATTGCAATAGCGGTAAAATTTTATCGAGAAGAAATTTGGTAATTTTTGGTCCTCTTTTTACAGTTTCAACTCGCGTAAGTACGTAATTTACGTCAGATTTACAAGAATTTGGGGCATTCGATTTCATCTTGTATTTTACATTCTCTTGCGATTGCGATAGTAGTTAAAATTGAACAAAAATTGAAATTCCAAATTGTCACAATCTCCGTTGCGCGTATCGACGCTGGTTAAAAATTAAAAATATCACTCGTCACAGTATAAATATTCCCCATCGATTTATAGCCTATTTTCAAGAGATTGATGTTCGACGTCTCGTTGATCATCGCCGACGTCAAAAATACTTCTCGCGTCTTCCCTCTACGGTCTTCGTACATTATCGCTCGTCCGATCCTTTCGTCTTGCCATGGAAATAATATTCAAAGCAATTCATGGGAATATTACGTTAGATTTCTCGCTAGATTATTCTATCAAATTCGTTTAAATCGTTCGTGTCAAGGGTTTGCTACGCACGTACGCGGATACGCAGGTTGTTTGAAGATAACCAGAGATGAAGCGGAAAAGGTGAGAAAAAGTTGGTGAGAATAAGGGCCGACGACCAATATTGAAGCGAAGATAGAGAAGTAGACACGTCGGCCTGGATACGTCAGAGTTACAAATCAGAATATTTATCACGAGACTGAGGCTGCTGCGGCGGCTGTGCGTTCGATAAAACGGAGACGCCTTCGGCGCCGTCGCGCGTCCTCGGCTTCTCGATACGCGTGCACCTGTCGTCTTGACGAGAAATGAAATCTAGTCGCGTGTCGATAAAGGGCTTCTATCCGCGTATTGCCCCGGTGTATCGTCGACGTGAAATTCCGTCGGAACTTCCGAGGAATGGAAAATGGAGCAAGGATCTGCCGGTTCAACGTCCTGTCGTTGCGGCGGGCCAACGGGAGACTACGAGAAATCTTTGACAAACTAGGATGAATCTTGTCAAAGTCAAATTTCAAACGTATCCGCGATAAGAAGAATGTAATTCTGAGGTGCTTTGATGAACTGGCAAATACTAGAGATTACAATCTCATTGCGCTGAAATGACGTGCCAACATTTGGCCGAAAATTGCAATATTTCCTCAGTTTTAAGTACATTGAAGTACAACCCAGGCAAAACAAATAATAAATCTATTACTTCTTAGTAATTTCTATCCAGTGATGTACCGATGAATTCAAAAGAGAAAGCGAATTATTGGTATTGTACGGTATTGGTCACTCGTTATGGTCCGTCAAGAGGTTAAAAGTCGAATAACCCACAGAGAAATCTTCGACGAGTTAACAAGTATTCGAGAAACAATCTCAATCAAAGATTCAAGTTGAAACACGTCTGCGACGGGGCGTGCGTAATTCAACCCCCGAGGCTGCCGATCTGGCATACACCCCCGTAACCACATCCGCGCGAATCCTGCGCGTTTGCGAAAACGTGAAACAAAAAACGGGGGAGAGGAGACGCTCCGAGGTAGGCAGAGAGCAGCAGAGAGTTGCGATAGTTACGATACGCCGGAGAAACTCGGCGGAGAGACGAGAGAGAGAGAGGGGGAGAGAGAGAGAGAGAGAGAGAGAGAGAGAAAGAGAGAGAGAGAACACGGGAGAAAGCGATGGCGCGAGCGGAACGTAACGACAAACAGAGGAGGCGAAAAAGCCGATGGACCTTAGCGGTGCTGCGGTGTTGCGCGAGAACGAGAGCGGCGAGTCTGGTCTCGAAAGCAGTTCGTCGAGAGATCACGGCAGCGGGAGCAACAGAAGGTACGGAACGGCAGCAGGAACGGCAGCAGTTGAACGTGGGGATCATGCCTTCGTTCCCCGCGTCCTTGCTTCCAACCCCACTTTTCCATACTCTCCGTCCCACTTTCTGCCCGGCGCATCGATCGTTCTCTCTCTCTCTGTGTGTGCTCTTTGGTCTTTCTTGCTTGGTTTGGCGGCTCGCGGGCGAGAGGGAGACAGAGACAGAGACAGAGGGTTTTGGGGGGCGGGAGGACTGAGTGAGAAAAAGGGTGGTCGGGGGAGAGGCGTGAGAGACGTCTCTGGCGGGAGCATTCGCGGATCGTTGGCAGGAGTGTATGGATACCAGTGCACGAGGGGCGAGAGGGCGAAGGAAGGGAACCCGAAGGGGGGAAGAGACAGCGCGAGTTGGAGGGGGGAGAGAGGGAGAGGATTTGGATCGCGAAACGGTTTTGGTGGGGTGCGAACGGTGTTGGTGCTTGGATAGCACGTGGAAGGGATAATTAAACGGACACAAACGTGAACACGAACACTGGTGTACGGAAGGACGAAGAAAGGTTACCATGGCGACGTGGATGGGATCCGGCCAATCCCGATCTGGCTGGTAGGCGTGGCTTGTTGGCCCCCCGAGCGCCAGTGCAGCCGTCTCTTTTTCTCCAGCAACCCTTCCGTTGGTGTCTGGAACCCGCTGGCAGGGAGAGGGGGACGAAAACCCGGGAGTGGAAGTGAAAGAGGAAGTGAGAGAGAGAGTGACGGGCAGACGGTGTGGAAATGAAAGAGTGAACAAGGTAGAGGTAGGTCGCAAGAGCCGGCGGGACTACCCGGTTGCAACGGGCGCGTACAAACGTATCATGCTGGGTAGGGCCGGTGCCGAGATGCCGGCTTGTAAACGAAACCAGTTTGCTATCCGATACGATCCAAGCAACAGCGGCTTCGCGTGATATCTCCACAGCCGAGGAGAACGTCAACGTGTGCTTTCGCGTTCGACGTGACCCCGTCGGATGTCTATCCTGATGAACGTTTTACTTGGACCCAGGACGCACCTGACCCAGGATAGTGCTCGGGGCTGAGATTCAGTCGGCAAGAGACGAACCGGCGGACAACAGCCACCGGTCACTCGCTTCCCGGAGTTATTCGCATCTACGATCGTTTGCTACTTCTGGAGAAAGAAGTTTAAAGAAACACACGCGTACACACACACGCGCGCGCGCATACTGGCATCTCGTCGATCAAGACCCGGCGGAGAGACAACAACCTTTGTTGCCGTTTCATCGTTGTCAGAAACATTCTTAGTAAACTAGATCCTTCCAGTTCTCAAGGACTGATGAACGTTCGAAACTTTCGTTTCCAAGCGTGGCAGTACATTCGCACAGTGTAAACAATTGGTGAAGTGATATCTGTGTTGACCGAGTGATCGGGAATAAGAAAGAAGTCGAGTAATGACAAGCCTCCGAGACAGGACGACAACACGATGAGAAGCGCGAAAAGCAAACACAAATCGAGTCGGAGAGTTTCCTGAGTCCGGCACGCTGGTAGTTCGTATCCAACGGTGACATCGATGCTCTGAAGAGGCCGTCGCTGTTCCGCAGCGCACGGTGGTAAGTGGATCCTGGAACGGAAAGGATCAGGCACGATTGAGCCAGAAGAGATGTCAGCCGTAGCACCAGCGGGGACTGGTGCTACAGCACCACCTGCGAACGGTCCAATTGTACCTGCTCCGGTCTTCGCCTTGCCAACGTTGTCGTTCACCGTCGGTCAGGTGGCCACAGTTTGCGAGACTCTGGAGGAAAGCGGCGACATCGAACGGCTAGCGAGGTTCCTCTGGAGTCTTCCGGTCGCACATCCGAACATCCAGGAGCTGAATCAAAGCGAGGCTGTGCTGAGAGCCAGGGCGATCGTCGCGTTTCACTCGGGACACTACAGGGAGCTGTACGCCATACTGGAGAGGCACAAGTTCACCAAGGACTCTCATGGTAAGCTGCAAGCGATGTGGCTCGAGGCGCATTATCAGGAAGCCGAGAAGCTTCGGGGGCGGCCGCTCGGCCCCGTCGACAAGTACAGGGTACGAAAGAAATTTCCGTTACCGAGGACGATCTGGGACGGCGAGCAAAAGACTCATTGTTTCAAGGAGAGAACCAGATCGTTGTTGAGAGAGTGGTACCTTCAGGATCCGTATCCGAATCCCGGCAAGAAGCGAGAGCTAGCTGCTGCCACGGGGCTCACGCCAACCCAGGTTGGCAATTGGTTCAAAAACAGGAGGCAAAGGGATCGGGCCGCCGCTGCGAAAAATAGGTACGTCCACGATATTCTTTCACATACATACGTACACTCCTGGTGCCGAGAGAGTTCCAAGAAACGAATCGACAGAATCGAAAAAGAAATCATTCTTTCGTTCTTTCGAACGGTGTTATTCTTCGAGATCTCTCCTACGACAGTTCTCAAGTTCATCGCCGTGGAACGAATAAATCATACGCTGTGACTTGTTCCAATTTGAAGCCAATAAATCCCGGCGATTCGTGCGATAATTCTCAATGTCTGGACGAATTCGGCAGGGAAACTCGTGGGAGACTCGAGAGAATTTTTTTACAACAATCTATCGTAGGACAAACGAATTCGTTCGTCTATTTTGCGTGCCGTTTTCGATCGCGGTTGGTGGCAGGACGCGAAAGTTTTATTCATTAAGTAGCGTTTAATGGAAGTTAATCGCGAAACGATTAGTGGTTTAGGTCCCTTTAGTCAGATTGTTGTGCTGTGTCCTCGGCAAACGAGCCTTTGTGCCTAGTCCCAAGGTCCCCGCGTGGAGGGTCGCGTAATTTCATTTTGACGTCCGACGGAGGGTCGCTGCCGTCGGGCGAACAACGATTTTCGAATTACGTCTTTCAAATTGTATTTCGTCGACGCTCTGCCTCTCCTTTCGTTCCACGATACGTCCTCCGCATAGGCGAGTCCTGCCCAAATCGACTCTGAACAACCCAGTCCCAGTCAATTTCGTAGCGCTCTTCTGTTTCAAACAGGATATGAAACGAGCTATCGAGTGATATAACCGTGTCTATCTTTCCATATCTTCTTCAGTCTCTGACAGAGAGAGAGAGAGAGAGAGAGAGAGACATTTGCTCCACGGAGTCGTTTCTATCGGCGATCTCGTTATTGGAGAAAATTCAAATAACTCTAAACTCGTTTGATCCCACGTGGTGGAAAGTCTCGCTTGGAAAATCTCTTCGAAACATTCCTTTCGACATTTCGTAGATTTGTCTCTCGTTCGAGTTATTCGAGATCGTTTGAACAATCGTAAACTGTTTCGCTCATCATGTGACAAACATTTCTCGAAATTGATTTCGTCGTACAAAGGGATATATTATCCTTGATAGAGAGACAGAGAGAGAGAGAGAGAAAGAGATCGTCTCTAAAGGATTACGAAGCAGAACGTCTCGTGATATCTGTAGAAGCGTTTTCGATTTTATTTTACTATTTCTAGAACAAAAGGGAAGAGACAACCTGCTCGAACCACGATTAGTCACGGATTGATCGTCGCTAAGAGGTTCGAGAGACGATTATAGAAAAAGCGGCTGCACAAGCTGTCGTTTCGATTCGAAGCACCTCAATCTCAGGTAACGCCTAGTGGCAGTATTGTCGTGAATGGACAACGGCAACATTTTTTCCACCGAAATAGGAAAATTTTATGCTGGGTTTTCCCCGTGGCTTGCTCCTCCTTCTTTGTTTCTTTCTCTCTCTCTTTCTCTCTTTTTTGACTCTCTCAGCAAACCTTGAAATACGGCCTCGAAATTTCTCTTTGATTTATGGCTTTGAGGAAGGGAACGTCCCAGACGAAACATTTTAAGAAATCTGTGTACTTTTTGCCAGTATTCTTGCATTACATATGTTGCACACGTGCCAAGGCATTTTTGTGAAATTTAATATTCCTGTCCGTACGTCGAAAGAAAAACCTTGGAAGTCTTTGTATTCGCGTAACTGGACAAGAGGGTGGCACTGTTCGCGAAGGAGCAAGTCGATAGTGTAGAATCAGTGGGAATTTAAATTTAATCAGACATTGACGAAAATTTCGTTCTGATAAATGGAATGTCACTGAAAATTAGTCAGCACGGTTCTACTGTCCCTGTTATTCGGATTATTATCATTCGGTATTCAGTATAGATTTATGCGTGTAAGTTCTTTCCCTTCTCTTTCGTTGATTCGAATGATTTCGTAACATATTCACTCGAAGTTTCAGAGAAACAGGTGACAATTTAATTGCTACTGTTAATAAAAAGAATATTACGAAGTGACTGTCTCTCGTTCTCATTTGCAAGACCGATATTACAAATCGATCAGTAACGTTGACAGGGAATATATCACACGACATTACAAATCGAATCGAACGCTCTCCATTTAAAATTACGTCAGGTGAATTTCCTTTTCACGCTTGCCACTGCGCGAAATCCGACTTGTCCCTTTCGCAAGAAGGAATTAAAATCTTCTTGATCACAGAAACGATCTGCCTCATTTCAAAAGTTTGTTCTTCCATCGCGTGGAAAGCAAATTTATCGTTCCCGACCACTTTTAAGTTTCACCGCCACGAGACGCCGTAGACAAGAGATATACATTTTCTATATTTTCCCAGGAATTATTGAAGAGAAGCTTGAAAATCCACTCTCGGACGAAAGTTCGTTTTAAACAAACGTATCGTTTCGCACCGCAAATGGAATTCGCGGATTCGTTTTTCTCCCTAACCCCTCTGCCCGCCCTTTTCTATCCGGGGCCGTCTAGTAAATCCGCTGGTCTAAAATCGTCTCGACCCAGATTCTTGGTGGCGCGCGGACATCTGTAATTACTCTGCCCTGAATGAAGTCATTAATAGTTATTACCTACTACGTCTATGCCGTGTAATTGATATATCGTTAACGGCTCGAGGATCGTCCGACTGCACGCTGGTCTAATTGATCTTGATGAGGCCGCACAACGGGGAAAAAGATTACACGTTCCTCAGGGGCTCGCCGCTGTCTTTACTCTGCATTCACATCGTTTTCTTACCGCCTCGACTTTCCACGGATTCACGGATAACTTGGCGAATTTGCATTTGCAACAACCGCTTTCGAAATCCCCCCCGCGACACGCTCGCCATCGCGTTCGTATTCGATAACGATGATTTTGGTTCGATTAGTGAGCCCCTCTGAACGAATTCAACGAGTTGCGTCTCAAAGTGGAGGAAGTAATTGCAGGTCGGACGTGTCGCGTCTTCGGTTCCGATTAATAGCTCGCTGGCTCTCGCGTATTCGAGTTTTGTAAATTTCGAACTCCGTTTGGAAATTCCGAACTCGGGCTGTTGACTTCCAATTTCTTTTCATTTCGAAACTTGGAAGTTTCATTTCCTTTCTTACACTTTCTTTAACCAATTGCGCTGGCAACTGATTGCGGACCATAACCAGCGGCCGAATCGTATATACGACAATTCGTCGCTTTCTTTTCGAACTCGTCGATACGATGTCACTGGATAGAAATTATTGACGAGCAATAAATTTATTATTTGCCTGGATTGTACATAAATATACTTAGAGCTGAGAAAATATTGCAGCTTCGGGACAAAAAAAATTCTCGACGTGCGTGGCACGTCATTCCAGCGCAAGAGATTAATCACTGATTGTGGACCATAACGAGCGACCGAACCGTACATACAACAATTCGTCGCTTCCTTTTCGAACTCGTCGATACGATGTCACTGGATAGAAATTATTGACGAGCAATAAATTTATTATTTGCCTGGATTGAACATAAACATACTTAGAGTTGAGAAAATATTGCAGTTTTGGGATAAAAAAAATTCTCGACGTGCGTGGCAACTGATTGCGGACCATAACGAGTGACCGAACCGTATATACAACAATTCGTCGCTTTCTTTTCGAACTCGTCGATACGATGTCTCTGAACAGAAATTATTGACAAGCAATAAATTTATTATTTGCCTAGATTATACATAAATATACTTAGCGCTGAGAAAATATTGCAATTTTGAGACAAAATTCTCGACGTGGTTAATCACTTACGCTGGCAACTGATTGCGGACCATAACGAGTGACCGAACCGTATATACAACAATTCGTCGCTTCCTTTTCGAACTCGTCGATACGATGTCACTGGATAGAAATTACTGAGAAGTGATAAATTTATTATTTGTTTTGCCTGGGTTATACTTAAATATATACTTAGACCTGAGAAAGTATTGCAATTTTGGGGACAAAAGAATTCTCGACGTGCGTGGCACGTTATTCCAGCGCAAGAAGTTAAATCTCGAGTTTGTGGAATTTTTCAATTTGAAGGTTCGATGGAATTTTCATACGACATTTTCCTCGATTGTGCGGGCATTTTCGAGGACGGTAACGACGTTAAATGTTCGATAAACGTCGCCTCTCTAAGAGGGGCGGACAAAAGCGACTCGCTCGTTCCCTCCTATTCTTAAATCGGCGAAATGAAAACCACGTCAATTAAGAGCGAAAACACGAGGGGCGGGCGAGGGGAGAAAACAGTGCTGAGAAATACAGAAAGAAGGATTCGTTATGGATTTGCAAAGAAATTCTAAATGCTCGGATGACCAATTTCCCCCCTTTACTTTCCCGGCGATAGAAGAGCCGTACATTCTAGTCAGGTTATCCGACAATGGCCGTGCACCGTACCTATCGTTACCCCCGGCGTAACGACATTCCGTTTCTGGCCTGGAGCCACATTTTCCTGCACGTAATCCTGCGAATCCCCCGGACGAATCCTCCGCCTCTTCCCTTACGTACGTACCTACACACATCCTGGCCCTCCACGCGAACCAAAAGCCACGACTGCTTCGCTAAAAAACATCGATTCGCGTATTGAACTCGACGTCCGTACGAAATACTTCTATGCATCGCCGCCGCCTATCCCTTCCTCCTCTCCTCTCTACTTTTCTCTTTTTTTTCTTTTTTTTTTTTGGTGTGTTCCACCCTGTCCCATTCCCACTTGTCATCCGCTAGCGCTCGGAACGTCCGAACGCGGCGATTTTTTTTTTTTTTTTTTTCCCTCCGCCGCAAGAATTACCCGTAAACCCTCTCGGAGCGACCAACGTAACCGTACAAAACAGATCTACGGCTCGAAAATACCAGCCGGGGAAGCCATCATCGATTTTAGATTTGGTTTCTCGGATCGGGGAAACGATTAAAGCACGCTGTTTCGCGAAAACATTCGGGATTTTGTGCGACGCGCACGATGCAAACAAACGAAAAAAAAAAAAAAAAAAAAAGAAGGAACGCGAAGAGATGATCTCGTCGCGCGCG